CAGGAAGTGCCTAATTATTGCTTGCCTTTTGTGTCAATCAAGCGGTTTCGCGAGGGGAAAGTTGACGAAGTTTGCGGCTGTAAATCAAACGATAATGTTTTGTCCATTTTGTGGAAATTATTCGAGCCAGTTGGCTCGCTTTTGTTGTTCTTGTGGGAAGTGTTTAGACTTTTTAAATGAAACGGATCAGACAGATGAACCAGATGTGCTACATTGTTGTATAGGGTATTTCAATGCAGGCCACTCTTACGACGTAATCGTTGACATGATGTACTCTTTACATGGTGTAAACATTAGTTTGCGGTGTCTTAAAACTAAACTTAAAGAAGCCGGACTGTATCGTAGAAAGGATTATTCCTCTACAAACACTGTCAGGAGTGCTATCAGGTTGGAGCTTCGTGGACCCGGACAACTCTTTGGCTACCGAACGATGTGGCAAGTACTGAAACAAAAGTACAATCTACGAGTAAAGAGAGATGATGTTATGGTGTTTCTCCGGGAGCTCAATTCTCAAGGATGCGAGAGGAGAGCACGCAGAAGATTTGTAAGAAGAACCTACCACTCAATGGGGCCGAATTATATGTGGCATGCTGATGGTTATGACAAACTAAAGCCATTTGGCTTGGCACTTTCGGGATGCATAGATGGATTTTCACGGAAAGTACTATGGCTCATATGTGGACCAACAAATAACAATCCATCAGTGATTGCTCACAATTTCCTCTCTTGCCTGAGAAACCTTGGCGTTGTCCCCATGAGACTGCGGACCGATTGCGGCACGGAGAACGGCATTATGGCTGCAATTCAGTGTACCCTACGCCACCATCACACTGACTACTACTCGGGAATGTCTAGCCACATGTATGGCTCATCCACAAACAATCAACGAATTGAGTCGTGGTGGTCTATATTCAGAAGGGGAAGGTAAGTGGCTTTAATGAACTATTTTGGTTTTCTTAATGTTGCCCAGTAGTTTTACCTCATTGTAGTGTTAAAGTTTTAATCACAGATTGACTGCTTGAACATTACCATTAAGTTCCTAAATTCATTGGCTAAGTACTTGAAAACACCACTTAAGTGTTGTAAAGTATGTTTAAACTCATTGTAGACCATCAAAATAAACATTTTAACCTAATTATTGTTATAGGTCTCAGTTCTGGATGGAGTTATTTGCTGACCTCAGAGATGCAGGACTCTTTAATGGAAGTCATGAACATCAGTGTTTGCTAAGATTTTGCTTCACTGATGTCATACAGAAGGATCTGGATGAATATATCATGCTGTAGAACAGTCACAGGATTCGCACTTCTAGAACTGCATCATGTCCTGGAGGAGTGCCTAATGAACTGTACTACTTACCACACAGGTAATAGATGGGTGATATAATTACTTCCTTGTAGCCATTTTAATTTTATTTATAATTTAAATGTAAATAAATGCTATTACACAAATCAATTCTTTAATCTAGATTTGGCTCTAGAGACTGTGGATTTACCATCGAATGCACAGAACTGGACACATTCCCTGAGTTAAACCAGTCAATGAATCCATGTGGTGACCCAAACATCCAGGAGTACTTGGACTTTGTTATGGAGCACAGTCAACTACAGAAGCCAGAGAACTGTGAGTCTGCCTCAGAACTCTATATACGTCTTAAAGAAATTGCTCAGCTATAATTATTCCAATTACTGAAAAATCTAAAATTGTACACATTACCTTAATGAAATACTGTCTCGAGAATGAATATTAACTTGTGCAATTCACAATTTGCGTTTGTGCAAAAACTCCTATATCTGACCTAAATTGTCACAGAGATGGTGAAGTGTGAAATGGAGTAAAAATAATGCGTAGTGTAAAATAACACTATGTAAGTATGGAAAATAAACAAGCTATATTTCAAGTGCTCTTTTGGAATTGTTTTTATTTTCATGAAATGCCTTTTTCAGATCTCAGAATTTAATGAAACTGTCCAAATGTGTGTTACATCTCCATACAATAAATCAACAACAGAAACTAAACATGTAGTTATCTCAAATCTATGCTTGGGTCTGGCCATTATTACAAAAATGAGTGTATAAAGGTGCATAAGTGTGTGTATATGCATGGCATAATGGTACCCATAATGGACCCAGTGATACGTGGTTTACAAACAGCCAAAACCTGGTGAATTTTGAATTCCAAAATCCATACGTGATTGAAATACATCGTATGAATCTATGAATGGTAATTTCAATGTGTTCGAACATGTGTTTGCCATTGGGAAAGGTGAATCGTCCAGGAATTCAATCCTTGGCTGCGGTTCCAATCCAGCTGGGGGAAGTGAAGTTAGCCCAGTTGCAAACATAAAAACATCCTCCACACACACAGCAGCCTGGCCTTCTGTAAGGAAACAGAATTGTTCACGCACAGCTTGGCATTTTCTTGCTTTTTTTCCAACAAGTTATTAAATGGAATTTATTATGCAATCTCTGCTACAAACCTTCACAATCAAGTAAATAGTCTGCCCAATAGCTTAATGTTTGTCCTTCTCGAAGTCTCCTGCTGCTCCCGGATGGACTAAGGTCAGGTTTGAAAAGTCTCTCAAGTTCAACAGCAGTGAGCTTCTTTTCAGAGTGGCACAGGACAGGGGCCAGCAAAGTAGAATGCTGCTGCAGGGCAGTCAAAAACTGAAGGGCTGAAAGACCATCTTTAAATCTAAA